TACTAGAATCATATTTAGCAGAATGGGTTTCCTTTTATTAACAGAGGAACTCAGTACAGCAGGCTTGCAGTTCCGCCTGTTAATATCTGGAGGGCTGGACAGTCTCTCTGTACCTCCTAAGACACTGCTCACTGCTGGGAGAAAGCCCCGCCACCGACAGTGAGCAAATGCACGACTGGAGTGGTCCCAACACGACCGACTCAGCAGAACTAACACTTGGATTTCATAATTTTCATGTGCCATGAGATCTGAGTTTTGATTTCAACCATTCCATAATATAAAAAAACCATTCTTCACTAGGCCAGGGGAGGATGTGACCCACATACTGCAGTTCGATTAGAACTTCTAAGGTGCTGCAGCGGGAGAAAGAAGGCTGTGTAGCAATGTCTGTGTGGGTCTCCAGCACCCCTTCTCCCCTGGGTCACTGCAGACTTCACTCAGGTAGGGCGCTGCCCAGGAGCTGCCACCCAGGACACTGCTCGCCATCACTGCAGCACTGAAACTCAGCTGCAGGGTGCTTTTCCGGGGCCTGTTCCTTAAAGGTGCATTCACAACCAACCCCACCCCCCCACCCCCCCGGATTCCAGTGCAGGGGACAGGATCACATGCATCCCTGTGGGAGGCCTGGCTTTTGGTGTCTGCTAGGATGGAAGCAGACTGCAAGCACTGGCCCTGCAGCACACACACCGCAGGAGGCCAGAGACCAGCCCCTCGGGACTCAAGACAAAGGCAGGCATGGCGCACACCAAGGCTTCCTTTACAGGACAGGAGTGGAAGCATGAAAGCAGAAGAAAGAAAGCCAAAAGAAATGCTCTGATGTCTGGGACATGGTTCAGAATAATGTAGTGTGGGGCAGAGAAGAAACAGGATCGAGCATGACTCATTAGCTGTTTAAGCAGTGTGATGGTGACAAGCAGGCCCGTTAACACATTTTCTGTATGTTTCACACTGTCCATAAGAAAACAAATAAGAGAAGCCCTGAAGAGAATCAAAGAGAAAGAGCACACCTGGAGAAGGCTTTATGTCTATAACGCAGTACCTTCCACAGTGCTTCACACAAGTACCTGTCTGTTTTCAGTCAGCTATGAACCACTGGTTTCCTCCTAGGAAAGAAAAAGGATGGCGCTGCTGTGTTGACTCAGTCTACGCTGAGGCTACTGGCCTCTGGTCTGTCTTTAAAAACAAAAATCTTGTAGGTGCCTACTGACCTCCTTCCCATCTTCCCCGGGGTCAACTATATCCCCGTTATTTTGACAGGGAAATCACCAGTACAAGCATGGGTATCACCCTGGGTTGGCATCTTCCTACCTTGCCTCAATATTAGAGATAAGAGAGGTACTGTCCTAGCTTCACCCTGGCTGGAAAGTGTAAACAGAGTGCTAAACTCAGCACAGAGCAGCAGGCAGGGCTGAAAGACAGCCTCTGACACCCCTAATGCACAGAGTACAGGTGGCTTCTATCTGGAGAGTCGCAAGACAACAGGAAGCTGGTCGTCTGAACCACTCAGTTCAATCTTCCTGGTAGCCCAAATCATTCATTTTTTTGAGCAACTATTACTGAGCAAAAACTGCAGGAACAGACCAGGCACTTATCAACAATGAAGTTGCCCTCAGAAAACAGACACTCTCCCGGAGCCATCACATAATCCATACTTCAAATGGTGACAAGAGGAGAGGGAAGAAAAGTTTAGGGTACTCTGATATCATACAGTGGGTGGGTGGAAGACAAGTTCATGACAGTGTTCCAAAGAAAATGTCACTTTTCCAACTCTATTCTCGATTCCCCTGATGACACCATATTATAGTCGCAATTTTGCTACGAAATTAAGGCACTTAATGTTTACATTTTGAAATAGGCCCTATGTCTTCAAGCATTAACATGGAAACCTTCATCAGTTCTCAGAAATTCTGTCTAAACGTGAATTTCATACACGCATTTCACAAATAGATAATTTGTGAAAGTCCAGAACTTCACAAATCACATTAGGAAAAAGGGGAACTTGTCTCTTGAGTTCACTCATTTAAAAAAAGATTAAAACGTACTGTCAGTCTTTTCCCACCAAAATCAATTGCAGTCATCTTCTACTATTACAGAGTACAAGACAGCAAACAGGGCAATAAAAATGTGAGTATGCTGATGAACAGTAGGCTAATCTCCGACAGGCAACTGTAACACTAGCTAACATCTGCCTACCTGTGCTAAGAGGAAGAAAATGGATGATACTTTAGCTAAATTACAAACAATCTCACTTCCACCTAAATTAACAGTCTCAAGTTTCTCCCACAACCTTAACCTGTGAGCAGTCTTTCTATGAAAGGATTTGGCCATAGTTATAAGAGAAAGAGAGAAGAAAGAGAGAGAGAGAGAGAGAGAGAGAGAGAGAGGGAGAGAAAGGAGTTTAACTGTGCAGTTTTGAACTACCGTGGGCGGTGGGAAGGAAAGAAATCCAAGAGAAGCTGTGGACAGTAGGAGGGCAGACATACACATTACTTTGTACACAGTTTCAGGAGCATTCTGACCCCTGGAAGCTCATTCAAGGGTTAGGGTTGGACAGACACCCTGGCCTACATAAACACCAAATTATGTAAGATTATCAGCAGTTGAAGGGGTTAAAAAGAATACTTGCATCATCTAATTTAATTTAAACCCTTACAATAACCTTAGGAAATACGTATTATCTCTTTTTCCAAATAATAAAAGTTATATTTGGAGAGATGAAGTAACTAAGCCAAAGTCAGGCTACTTTGTCTCACACCCAGGTTTCATGACCCAAGTCCAGGATTACAAACTGGAGAAGTCTAGGAGTTCGGTGTACAATACCAGGGATCTTCTGTGATAGAACTTCTATCTTTCAGTGCTTCCTTCACCCAATCAACTTACCTACGCAGTTCTTCTCAATTAAACACACTGATGAGAGGAATTAGTTAACGCTGAGACATCTTTTCTTACCAGGAGATAATCTTAACCAAACACAACAGATAAGAGTCCAGCAAGTTTTGGTAATATTAAATGTAATTTTCATTCCTGAAGCAGCCTGGCATGGATTGTGTGTTAAGAGAACACATAGGTCCATTTTATGAGTGAATCCCTGAAGCTTGGACTTTTAAACTGTGCCAAAAAAAAAAAAAAAATCCATAAAGTCACAAACAAACAAAAAAATCGGCTGAATTTAAAACTTCAGGGGCTGGGGATTTAGCTCAGTGGTGCTGCCACCTGCCTCTCAAGGGCAAGGTCCTGAGTTCAATCCCCAGTACCAAAGAAAAAAAAAAAAAAGAAAGAAAACTTCAGTAACTACTCAAAATAGGCAAGTAAGGGCCTGGGATTTAGCTCAGTGGTTTTGCTGCCTGCTGCGCAAGCGCAAGGACCCGAGTTTGATCCCCCTACCAAAAAAAAAAAAAGGCAAGTAAGTGTGAGTTCTAGCCAGCGTGGCCACTATGGTATCATTTAAATGGTGATAGCAGCTCTGAACAAAAGCAGTGACCCCTAACAAACACTAATGATGCGATAGTTCAGAAGCACACAGAACCACATGCACAAGGCTTTCCTGCCTCAAGCAGGTAGTGAGGAGTCTTGGATCTTCCTGGAAAACCTGCAGATGAATGTATCCCACCAGAAAAGAACAAGTGGAGGGTTCATGTGTCCAGGCCTCTAAATCTGGTTGGGTCTCAATCCAGATCAAGGCACTCAGAGAAACACTAAAACACTCACTCATCCTCTATAGAGGAATTACCGACAACTGGCATCCCATTTTCAGACAGATTCAACCCTTCACGGGAAATGTATCCACACCCAGAGCATGGAAGCTAAGAACAAGAGTAGATCAGGCCTCTAAAGCTCTCCCCCAGTACCTCCTAGAAGAGCTGCCACCTAGTGATTTTAATTTTTTAAGCCCAGGCAGGCTGCCAACTCAGCACTAAAACCGGACTAACGACTGATTTCCCTATTGCAACATCGCCAGCAAATCCTATGCCTTCTCTGCCTCTCTTGCCCTCACACAGCAACTCTCACGTTGAAAATCAACTCAGTTTTCTGACTGTTCCAACTGGAAGCCCTCACGGGATCGCCACCAGGGTCAGTCTTCCTCCCGAGGCCAAGAGGCTAAGCGGCCAATCGAAAAGCCAGAGGAGTGCAAGTGAAAAGACGTAAGCTGCAAACAATAACACCAAGCCAGCCCTCAAGACTTCCAGCTGCAAAGGCGCACCTACTCTGAACTCAGCCTTGGGTACCAAACCCCTCAAGGCCTGCTCCTTCTGACCAGGTGCCCAGTCCTGGCGTGGGCATCAGGTAGCAAAGGCCGACTAGTCAAAGAAAAAAGGACATATGTGCCAGGGTTCAGCCTCCTGACCTGACTTCCAGTCGGAGGTACACCTCCAGCTACACAATGCCCTAGAGCGTCCTACCGAACAGTTTCAAACTCACCAACTGGATTCTGATTTCACTGACAATGACCGGTAAAGGCCTGTCTCATCGCACTGATTCTGTTTTTTTTCTTTTCTTCCTTATCTTGCACCTAACAAAAAAATCTGATCAATTGCAATCCTCGTTGAGACAATCCTTGGTAGCACTTCACACCTGTACCTTGAATCAAACAGAATTGGGTGGTAGAGACTGATGTTATCTTTTTCCAAGTTCAAAATTCATTCTGCTGTCTAGAAGAAAATTCCAGGGGGCAGGGTTTCCATTCCACTGCCCCTCCCGGCACCTGCGGAAATATGCGCTAAAGCTGTGAGTTCCTTTCTCCACTCGTGCTCTCATGAGGAGGTCAGATCTAGGATCAGGGTTAAGCTCCCTGTCTGCCGCTCCCAGCGCATCACCTTGCCAGTCCTCCGCCACTTCCCATTTCAGGAAGCCCCGGCGAGGAGTCCCCAGAGCTCCGCACCGCGCACCGCACACCGCGAGCCGACGGGCCGGGTCGGGCAGCATCCCGCTGGGGTGAGGGAACAGAAAGCAGCAGGGACCCTCCCGGGTCCGCATCGACTCCTCCAGGGGGCCGGACTCACCTTCCCGACAGAGCCCCATGACTTCGCGGTTTTTCCCAAACTCCTTCAAACTTTCGTCCAATTCCGTCCCTAGAGACACACACGGGAGGAGAGGCAGGTCAGTGCCGGGAGGGAGGCGCGGGCGCTCCTCGCTCGCTCGGCTCCGTTCGGCTCGGCTCGGCTCGGCCTGGCCGGCTCCGCGGCAGCCCGGCGCCCGCGCGCACCCCCGACCCCCGAGGGGCGGGTCACGGGACCCGGGAGGGCGGAGGCCAGGAGCGCGCGCGCGTGGGAGCGGAGGGCGGGGACACTCACCATCCTTCCCGGGAAGTTTGGAAGCCTCGACCCACAGACTCCACGGCTGTCCCAGCATCGCCTCGGGGCTGGGCAGCGGCCTTCGCTCCCCGGCCATCGCCATGGCGGCGCTGCCCGGGCCGCCGTCCTCCGGCCGTGGGCGCTGCCGCGGGGGCTGCGGGGGCTGCCGGGCTGCTCCGCCCGCCGCGCGGCGCGGCTCCCCCCTGACGTCATCCACGGCCCGCTCCGACATTTTTTCCGCCCCTGCAGTGCAACAAAAAGGGAAGCGTCGCTCGGGCCGCCCGCCGCGCAGGAGGCGCCCGGAGTTCCGGCGCGGCCCCGCTCCGGGAGGGGCTGACAGCGCCGCCGCGCAAAGTCCGGCTCGTGGGGCGCTTTCGCTTTTGCCCGCCCGCGCGCCCGCCGCCCCGCGCCCACCCTGCGACCGCTCGCATCCCGGGCCGCCGGCCTCCTTCCTGCCGGCCGTGTCTGCCCCTCCGTCTGTCCGCCCGCCCGCGCGGCGCCGGCCGGCTCCCTTAAGCCGAGGCGCCTCCCGCGCCTCCTCCCCCTCGCCGGTCCCTCCCTCTCCGCTCTCTCGCTCGCTCGCTCGCGCGGTGGCGAAGTTTGCGCGTCAGGCCCGGAGCGCGGCCAGGGCCGAGCGGGCCCGGGTGTGCGCCCGGCTGCCGAGGCTGTCGCGCCCCGGGATCTGGGTTTCCTGTCCAGCGAGAGGGGCCGCAGCTCGGGCGAGGGAGAGACCGAGACTTACTCCGGCTGCGTGCGGACCCCGGGGATACCACCCAGACTTGGCGCGCTCTTCCTTCTGGCGCTCCTGAGAGGGATTCGTTACCCCCCAACCTGCCGGCTAAGACTCGGATTGATTTCTAATTTGCTGAACCCTTCCGTCCTTTGAGCTGTCTTTTCTTGCGTAGGGTGAGAACCTGGGACTTAAGAGAATGTACAGAATTCGTACAAAACAGTTTTCTTGTTTTTCGTCAGCTTTTGTTCACAAAATTAGGAAACAGCCCGCAAAACTTCACAGTCCTCTCCAATACGCATGCGCTTTTCTTAAAGATGGTAAAATAAAGGGCCACTTCTGAGCACTTGAAGCAACCGCACACCCCGTGGAGAAGACTCCTAAAGGCGCTGCTCTCACTGTGCTGCTGTCTCGAGCTGATGTGAAAATGGAAGCCCAGACAAAACCCGTCCTCTGCCGAGCTGTAACCGGTTAACACTGCAGTGACAGCGGGCGCCTGTGACCCGCCTACACCTGTGTGCTTGCAGGTGCGGTGCTTTGCTTTGCTTTTTCCCTAAGTGGAGAGGTGAGGTTTATTTCCTTTTTTAAAATCTCAAGCATCTGGTGAGGCAGAGATGGCCAACTCTATCAAAGAAAAGACCAACCTGCAGAATACAAAAAGGTTTAGATAAGAGTGAAAATTAATATACAAAGCAAGACTCTAGAGGAGAGGTTTTCTTTTAGGTCCAAAACTTAAAAGCCCACACACACATGAATGTTTTGTTCCAAAACATCTGAAATTAGTGTGCATTTTTTCAGAATTACATGCAAACAAGTCCAAAAAGTGAAACTACAGATGCTTCAGTCCTTATCAAAATGCAGTTGCCCCTTTGCATCATCCTGCTGTGTATCCACAGATCCACCAACCAATGGTTGAATGTACTTTTTTAAAAAACTGAGTTGCTGAATGTGGTGGTGCACACCTGTAATCCCAGCATTCAGGAGGCTGAGACAAAAGGACTGCTGTGAGTGTGAGAACAGCTTAGACCACATAACCAGACCCTGTCTCAAAAACCTTTCCAAAAAAATGATCCTAAGCACTAAACATGTACAGACTTTTTTCTTGTCATTATTAACTACACTGTAACAATTTTCAGAGCATTGTATTTAAGTGTTAAAAGCAGTCTAGAGATGATTTAAGGTGTATGAGAGGCTGTGCCTCAGTTACATGCAATTATTAGGCCATTTTATATAAAGGACAAATTTTTGTATTGAGCTGGTGGGCGTGGCTTGGAACCAATCCTCCGGGATACTGAGGGACAACTGTAACCAAAATGGTAGAAGTTTCTGGAAGGATTTCATTTTTAAAAATCATTTCTGAGATGTAGCTCAGCGGCACAGCACTTGCCTGGCAAGCATGAGGCCCTGGGTTCGATTCCTGGTACAAAAAAACCCAAAATAATTTCTAAAGTTTTAACTTCCTACATAGGAGTATCAATCAGAAAAAGACAGTTAAAAACAAATATTCCCTTGACCATACCAGGATGCCTAACTTATTTAACATAGATTGGGAGTCCCCAGTGCAGATTTTCAATTTTTCATTCAATCTGAATGATTGAAACATCTGTATAACTACAGATATTCATCCTTTGTTTCTCTAAAGTATATAATTTATTAATTGCTTTAAATTTATAATTTTACATATAAAGGAGAATTTCAATGGATTTGGATCTGCCAGTGAAAAGATAAGCTAGACCACCCAGCTATTTATATACCAAAGGGTACTTGTGGAGTACCACTCTTCTGATCTCTTTTTGTTTGTTTTGTTTTTTGAGAAAGGGTCTCTCTATGTGTTCAGGCTGGCCTTGAACTCCCAGCAATCCTCAGTGCTGGGATCACAGGCGTATGGCACCACACCCAGCTCAATTATTCTGATTTCTGAAAGTACACAGTGAGAATTAAAACATGGGAAGAATGACAAACATGGAGTACGGTATAACTTCAAAATTGTTATACAGACTTAATGCAATCCTGATCAAAATAGCAATAGCATATCTCACAGAATTAGAGAAAACAATCCTACAATTCATTTAGAATTAGAAGAGACCTAGATTAGCAAAAACAATTCTGAGCAACAATGCCAAGGCAGAGGGCATCACAATCTGACTTTAAATGATACTGCAAAGCTCCTGTGATAAAAACAGCATGGTACTGGGGGAAAAAAAACAGACGGGATCAATGGAACAGACTAGAGGATGCAGAAACAACTCCAGACACACTCAGCCACTTCATCTTTGACAAAGGAGCCAACCACCTTCACTGGAAGAAAGATAGCCTCTTTAATAAATGATGCTGGATAAACTGGGTTTCTGCATGCCAAAGATTAAAACTAGACCCGTATCTTTCACCATGCACTAACTCAAATCAAAATGGTTCAGAGATCTAAATATTAAAACAGAAACACTAAATCTGCTGGAAGATAGCATAGGTAGAGCTCTCAAAGACATTGGTGAAGGCAAAGATTTTATGAACAAAATCTGATCACACAGGAAATATCACAAAGCAACAACTGGGATCTCATCTTACAAAAAGGTTCAGCATAGCAAAAGAAACCACCAACAGAGTGAAGAGACAACTCACAAGAGTGAAAAGAATTTGTGCCAGCTATTCCTCAGACAAAGGACTAACTAATACCTACAATATATAAAAAGCTCAAAAAAAATCAGACCCCCCCAAATTTAAAGATCCAAGCCAAAAATGGGCATCTGAAATAGATACTTCTCAGATGAAGAAGTACAAATGGCAAATAAATATATGAAAAAAATGTTCAACATCACTGGTCATTTGCGAGATGCAAATTAAAACAATGCTGAGATTCCACCTCACTCCAGAAAGAATGGCTATGATGAAGAAATTGGCCAATAAATGGTGGCGGGGCTGTGGGGAAAAAGGAACCCTTTTCTACTGTTGGTGGGAGTGCAGACACAACCACTGTGGAAATCAGTGTGGAGATTCCTCAGAAAACTAAAACTGGAGGTTCCATTTGACCCAGCTATTCCCCTTCTTGATATCTTCCCAGAAGAATTAAAAGCATCATACCACAGCAATACATGCACACCCATATTTATAGCGGCACAGTTTGCAATAGCTAAATCTTGAAAACAGCCTAAAATACCCATCAACTGACAAACAGATAAAGAAGATGTGTGTTTTTTTTATTCAATGGAGTACTAGTCTGTCATAAAGAAGGATATGCTTGAGACATTTCTAGCTAAATGGATGCACCTTGAGATCATATTCTTAAGTGAGATAAATCAGGCACACATGTGTAAATACTGCATTGTTTCTCTGGTGTGAGAAAATGAAAGTGGATATAAGATGTATAACAGATATTGTATTATCTAATGTATAGATAATATATGTATAATATATATGCATAATATACAAATGATAATAGATATTGAGAATGGGAAGAAAATGTTCAAATGAGAAGGGGAATAAGGGAAGGGGGAGGAGAAAAAAGAAAGGACAAGAAGAAATAGAAGAAAAAATGGAAACAAAAGCTTCTGTAAATACAGAGGGGAAGAGGGTTTGAAGGAGGGGTAATGGGAAAAAAAGAAGCAAGACGTATCATGTACAGGTACAAATTCCCTATGATGATCATCATCATTATGCATATCCATCACTTGCTTCAAAAACATTTAATAAATTGCAAGTAGATCAGAAAAAAAAAGCAAAGTATTTTTTACTGGCTTAATGAAGCAAACATAAGAGTTTAAAATTTAAAAAACAAAAAAAAACTAAGTGTCCTCTTAGCATTATGATAGCTATTAAGGAAAAGTTTTAGTAACAGCAGCTATCAATTATGGAACACTTGCTAGGTGGCAAGCATTGCTGTAGGTACTTACTACATTATCTCAATGTTCAGAATTTATAAGGCAGAAGTTGCGTTATTTACAATTGACTGATAAGGAAAATGAAGTTGAGCTCCAGAGCCAAGTCTTATTGTTGCCAAGTTTGGATATTAGCTCTTCTACTTAGAAAGTGTGTAACCCTGGGCAAGTTACCTAATTTACCACTGTTTTCTAACCTTAGTTTTCTAACCTGTAAAGTGAATGTAAGGCCAGGCTTCTCAAGATTATATTAAAAGTAAAGCGGGCATGGTGGCACGCGCCTGTAATGCCCGTACTTGGGAGACTGAGGCAGGAGGATCTCCATGACTCGAGTCCAGCCTGGCCTATATAGTAAGTTCAGGGCAGCTTGGACTACAGGCCGAGACCCTGCCTCCAAAAATAAACAAACAAAAAATTACATTAAAAGCACCTTTGAAAACATGTAGTACAAAGCTCAACAAGAATTCTATAAACAAGTGTCTTATAGCCAACTAACCAATTCAGTTCAATCCTTGTCTAGCAAATTTACTACCAAATGGAAGGGGATGTAGGAATGAGAGAATGACAAGAAATTCCTGCCGTCAATCCATCTGCTCTTGCTGTAGCCATATTCCTTTGTCACCCACCAAAAAGTCCTATCT